TTAAACAGGAATTATTTTTCAGTAAAGTGAGTATTTTTATTTATTTATTTATTTTTTTACTGTACTCAAGGAAGCAAACCCAAAATGATCTTCTCTACTAATAACCAAGATTTATTGGCCAATAGGATGTTGCCCCATTTGCTCCTGGGAAATACGACCTGTGGTCCAAATCTTTTTTCCAAAAAAAAAAAAAAAAGCAGGTTGAGCTGGTTTCGAGCGGGACGCGCTGCTCGCCGGCATTTTTGACATGTTTGATTCTGTCTCACTGAACATTGACAGAAAGTCCTCAGTTTCTCATCTGGCACTGGACTCTTTAACCACACACACACACACACACACACACACACACACACACACACACACACACACACAGCGCTATCTGTCTTTCTCTCTTCAGTCTGTAGCAAGAGAAGAGTAACTGCATCAAACTGCGATTCCGAGCTGCCTCATTTACAAACTCAAAAGCTGGAAAGAAGGAAGAGAGAGAGAAAGAATAACAGAGAGAGAGAGAAGATTAAAGATGGAGAAGATTAAAGATGGACAGAGGGGCAGTAAAAGATGAATGAAGTGTGAAAACAGGAGGCTTTACAGTGAAATTGAGAGTTACATAAAGAGAGACGGAGGCAGAGAGATTAGAGCTGGGGAGAGGGAAGGGGTGAGACGAGCACTGAAACAGGGAACATTAAGTGAAATGTAAAATGACAGTTACACGCAGTAATGAGATGGAGGAAACAGGGTGACAAAGAGAGTGTGTGATTAAGGGGAAGAGGGTAAAGAAGCATCATTTGGTTGTGTCCCATCCCAGTGAGTGAGGGTAAAGGAAAGGGTTAAACTAAACTTTCTTAGCGACCACTGCCAAAGACTGGAATTCAAAATCTCCCCAAACCAAATGAATTATTCAGTAGCTTTTTTGGTCTGTAAAGACAGTTTCGACACAGATTGCCCACTAACTGCTGCGACTAGTGGGGATGACAGGCTGACCCACTGCAGCAATAATGAATTGGCGTATGTTTGGCATCTAACGGCATCAGGCATTCTTCAAGTCACGCAGACGGGCGAAAATGACAGAAGCGTAATTCAACATATTAAGATAATACATACTGATTCTACTTCCTGGATTTGGTTTAGTCCAGAAAATATCAGCTATATAACTATATATATATATATACAGTATATAACTATATACTCCCTCATTATTCACCCACGTGAACAGAGCCACACTAACTACAACCTGTCACTGTTCAACTAACCCTAAAGATTATAGACTATTGTTTGTTTACTTACTACTCTACTCTGTTTGAACTGGTTACTTCCAAGTTATCCCACATATCTACCTTTACAATTGTTGGCACAGGACACTTTAGATTGGATTAAGAAAATAACTATAACGTACTCTGTCACTCTGTCTGTCATGTCGCCTGTCGTCATTAAATTGGCAGGAGATGTGATTTTATCACTACATGAAGAGTGACAGCAAGAACAAGAACAAAAGTTAGCCATTACAAAGAAGAACTTGTTTTTTGTTAATCTGTTTCCAGTAACAGTCCTATAACATCCCTGTAAGGAGTTAGGACATATCTGTGAAGTATTCCTACAGTAACTTCAATTTTTTTTACCTTGTGACGTAGATAATATTATCATAGTATTTAACTCACATAGCAACGTGTCCCATTGGGCCAGTGGTTTCACAAGAACAGCTGACAATAACAGCTATGTTGATCTTCCACCAGATTACACAGAAACCAGCACAGTAACATGATTAAACAGTAGATTCGGGTGTAACTGACTCAATCTCACTCTCTTACCTGATCTGTAAATTACAATTAGAACTTATTTTCATTCCTGTGATAACCTGTGACATCTCCAGACAGTAGGAAGTGCATGCCCAGCCAAAATACTGTTTACACTGCTGAAGGCGGAGCTCCACTAAAGATTTACATACCACTGTCATGGCACAGTAGAGCTGGTAGAGTCTACAAACACAGACGTCATCTTCTCAGCCTGGTGTTTAACCATAAACTCCAGTTCAAGCCGTCGGCTGGTTCAAGACTTTAACACAAGATCAGAAGTCTTACCTTTTTAAAAAAAGGCTACACAGCTGTTTTTAAAGGTGAAGTAGACTGCTGACCGAACTGGAATGGCACTCAGCGGAGTGCATACCCCCGCCAAGGCAAAAATGCCACATCTCGCAATGTTAAAGTTATAGTTCGGGTTATTTGACGCGGGGTTGTGTGAGGTACTTATCTGTAGTCAGTGTGTGTATATATTTTTTAATATTTTCATCACTTTATCTTGCCGTCAATCAGCCCTTTGCTTTGGAACTACTTTTTTTTTTAACCGCTGAACTACGCACAAGCATGAAAGTAAAAATATTCAAAGTTGGACTGATATTAGTTTTTTTCTGTGGGCATTTTTTAAGTGGCTAAAACACTTTATTATTTTTTTTTTTTTGCTGACCCAGTCCACAGCAGCACAGCACTCAGCTTCTGTGCCGGTGCTCCCGGCCGCCTCTCTAAACCACACTGATCTGAATCTACTGCAGGTAATGCACCGACCATAGATAAGTACCTCACACAACCCCGCGTCAAATAACCCGAACTATCACTTTTCCTGGATCTGCCTCTTTAACCGGATCAGCACCCAAATTGAATGGGTTCTCCCCTGACCTGTGCCCCATCCCTCCACCAGGTTTGATGCAGAAACAGACAGTTTTCACAGTGAAGAGTGACTGCACCTCTCCTGTCCTTGGGTGGAGGATTGGAAACTGTATCATTTGCAGACTGTAATAAAAAATAAAAAAAAATGTGGAATGTCAGATACAATCCTGCAGGGAGAGTTAACGGCATGCAGCACCGAGAGATTTAAAAGGTCATTTTGTGTGTGTGTGTGTGTGTGTGTGTGTGTGTGTGTGTGTGTGGTTATTATAGGTGAGATGAGGTGGAGACAATTTCCTGCGTTGTTGTGACACTGCGGCTTTGAGGAAAGAGTTTGGGGTTTCTCACATTATGAAAATCTGTAGACCGAGACCACAGTTGTGGGGTTTGTAGTCTTAAAAAAGATGATCTAGATGAGTGGGAGGACGGAAACATGTGTACTAACTTTATTTTGTTATGCAATTCTCCCAGATAGATCAACGATGCGCTTCTACTGCACTTCAGTAATAACCCTTGTTTTACTCCAGCCATGGACACATCTTCCTTCAGCCACTGATGCATGATTAACATGTTTTGCACGCCATGTTTTTGTTGTGTAACATCACAAATCCTGCTGGCGTGTATCTGAGTCAATCCTAAACCATAATCCATCACTGCTGTAGATAAAACTGTCCTGTGGATTTCTCTCAGGTGCTCACTCCTGCAGCTCGCACAGCACATTGTCATTCAAGGTGAATAATGAAAACAGCCGTCTGCAAAGGAACTGAGTTAGAATGGAAGATAATACAGGAGTAGAGGGAAAAGAGGTGTTTTCTGCAGACCACTTGAACACACACGTGCACAGGAGGGAAAGAAAAGCCATCTGTATTGTCCAGAGAGGGAAATGAACATCTGGGAGTGGAAGCTGTTTCCCTTCGGGGGTACAGGGGTAGGATGGGGATTCCAGCTGAAAAAATTTCACTCGACACACAAACAGCCTCTCGCTTCCCCCTGAATTTCGTGCCATCTTTTATATTTTCCGGAACCTGCAGGGATTTGTATCAGTCAACACTGTTATGTGCATCAGCAGCGCATGCTATATCCTGTTCCTGCATTGTTTTCATGCAAGACAGTTATCACCCAGCCGTTGACCATGAAACGTGTATTGTCCTCCTCTCGACCACTTCCTGGACAGAGAGTGAGCGACAGTTGTGTCCAGGTTGTCTGTTGTATTTGTAACCTCATCCTACATGTGAGGTGAGGGGGTGAGGTGAGGGGGTGAGGAGCCCGGGGGAGGCGGGGCGGGGGAAACACTAGAAGAGAGGATGCCTGTTTCCACCAGAAGCTCTGCTGTGTGTCTGCTGTCGCTAATTGGTAACTCTGTGTTTTAGCAGGAAACAACACACACAATGACTCCTGGCCTTTTGATATTCTCTCTCACACACACACACGCACACACACACACACACACACACACACATTTATTTTGGAAATTTGTAGGCAAACCCACACAGAGGTAGATTTTATCACCGACCCACTCGCTCCCGTCTTAACAACAAAAAGCTGTTGTAACATCTGGTTAGAGTTTAGTGTCCCTGGATGCTTCTGCACATCGCTCGCAGTTTTCTTTTTCTTTTTCTTTTTTTTTTTTTTTTTTTGACTTGGTTTTAAAAAATTCCCTGTGAAAGAATGAAATTCATTCAAGGTGGGATGAAACTTGAGGCCAAACACAACAACGGTGGGGAAAGCAGCCTTGGAAATCACCTTTAAATTGAAAATGACATTCCTGTGAATTTCTCCTCTCTCCTCTTGTCCCGTCACTTCTCTCTGCTCCGTGGGAGAGAATGAAAGAAGTCAATACATGATGTATGAATACGCTGATATGAGAGCTGCAGTATTGACCCAGTAATGTTGCTTCACACACACACACACACACACACACACACACCGTACTGCAATGATTTTTGCTGCCTTGCCAACAGAGGCGCTGAAGACGATGCATTAAGCCGTCGTAATTACTATTATCTGCAGCATTCACACAAAAACATGCCACAAAATTTGTTCTTTGTATTGCGTCTTTTGTATTTCATGCATGTAGCAGTTCCCGTCTTGTTTCAAAAAAGCACTTTGCAGCAGAACAAATTAACATTTTGTGACATTTTCGCATTTCCACATCAATTCAGCCCATTATGTTGCTCAGCTGGAAATTAATCAGCCCACACTCAAAGCTGTTACAGTCCCCACTCTGCATAAAGAAAAATGAAATAAAATAAATAAATAAAAAAAAGTTAATATTACTAGTTTGTTTGCAGAAAGCAATAAAATCAAAATTCTCTCCCTCTTCCTCTGCCTCTCCCTCTGCTCCAGATCCAGCCCTACGACAAGATCGCAGCTCGAGGTCTGCCGGACAACGTGGCTGACAGCCTCAACAAACTGGTGGTGGTGAAGCTGAACGGAGGCCTGGGCACCAGCATGGGGTGCAAGGGCCCCAAGAGCCTGATCAGCGTCCGCAACGAGAACACCTTCCTGGACCTCACCGTGCAGCAGATAGAGGTAAAGGAAGTCTCCGGGACCCGACTTTAAGGCCTTGGAGAATGGGGTCGCAATATGATGGGGGACTAGAAAGACATTGTTCAATAGCTCTAATATCCACAGCTGGGAAATACTTTAATGGGGAAAATCGAATGCTGAACCACATCTCTGCCGTGAGACCTTTTGTAAGACGTCTTCATGGGTTTGCAGCAAAGATGATTTATTTTGGTCCTTACAGCTTGATGTCGTGACATAAGGGCTTCACATCACTCCTATGTACGGTGCTATTAAGCTCAGTGAAGAGGTAAGTATCCGCACGTGCAGTGACCGTTCCGTCTGTTTTCATTCATTATCCAAAGTAGTTTAGATTTGAATCCAATCATATTAAATCTGCAATAATTAAAATTTTGTTTCAACAATGGACCAAATGATAATGTGCGTTTCTCATTGTGATGAACCCACAGAGAATTATTACCCAAATCTGCAGAGAAAAAGCTCTGAAAAAAACAGACTGCACACCACCTGGCCAGCCCCAAACAGCAGAGAGACAAAGTTAGCAACTAGCTGATGAACATCGTGGAGCATTTAACAGCTTAACAAACACATATTTCCCTCAGGAGTTGGTGGAATTATATTGGACTTACATTTATTAAGTTACCAGAAACGAGACTCCAAACAAATGCTTCTGTTGTTCCATCTCTGCTGGATAGAAAACTACTTGCTAATACATTTGCCATATCACATTTTTATTAGATGAAATTATATCAGTGCTATGTTACACCCGAGTGGCTAAATTTAGTCAAAGAATATGTTGAGCTAATCTTAAAAGAATGTTTTTGCAAATAATTTCCAAATAATGGTTTCCATAACAGTTGTAATATTTTCCTCGTTTAGTCAACCGGCCTGGTCCACACTCCTCAGATTGGTTTAAGGAACTGAAACGACTAAATGCTGGAGCCACCCAAATGATAGTGAATTCAAGTGGGCTTGTCTCATGTGCTGGCACGGTATGAACGCAGTGTACAGCAGGAACGGCAGAACAAGACTGATTTATGAGTTACTCAGAGAGAGTGGGAGGTCCACTCTCACTTCCTCACTGTGAAAACCAGACTCTGGCTTTTAATTACAGACAGTCAGGAGTGCGTGTTCTTACAACACTTTTTACCCAGTCACCAAACCTCACCGGTGAAAACACTAAACTGAAACTAAACTGTCTTCATTGGAGATGAATCGATGGATCTGTTCTGCCTCTCCCGTTCTCTGTTGTTCTTGTTCTACTTGTTAGTTTGAACTCTTCACAGCTGGCAGCTCTCCCTTACAGATCACTGTCACTGCGGCCCAGGCTTGGCAGTTAGGTGTTGCCTAACTCGTTGGATCGGTGTACACAGAGGAGAAATGGCCGGTTGCCACACAGCACGCACACTTTGGCTGTGATGTCAGAAGAGGAGGAGGAGGAGGGGGAGGAAGTGATGCTCTGTATTGTCTGATGTAAACATCATGTAAACATCTGCACGATCTGTTTAAAAAGTACAGAAAAATGTGTTCAGCCGGCGCCTCTCTGTGCGCAGTGCTACATACTGAACTTCCTCCAGACACAGGCCTCGTTTACTTCACGTATCTGAGGCGCCACAAGGAGAGACATGCGTTTTTTGAAAGTGGGCTGAAGGTCTTCGGAAAAGGAGTCCAGTGTGATAATTGGGGGAGTTGCAGTGAAAGAGGATCTGTTGGTGTGCAGGCGGGCAGGTCTGCGGGGTCGGCAGGGAAACAGAGAGGGCTGTGTGCTAAAGGAGAGCGGTGTGTGTGTGTGTGTGTGTGTGTGTGTGTGTGTGACGGGAGGCGTGGTCATATTTGTACCTGATCCCACGTCCAGACATGACATGTACGATGAAAAAAAACAAGCCGCACAACTGATCCCTTGATTCAGCTTGGACTGGGTGACAGTTATGAGGATGTAAAGGTTAAAGCCTGGAGACAGTTGTGAGCCTCAGTATAAAACATCTCTTATGAATCAGTCAGAGACGATGATGCCGGGGCTTTGGTGTGTACAGTATGGTGTTACTGAGTTTATATTGGGTGTGTGTGGCTGCTTTGTATTTGTGTGTGTTTCATAATGGCCTCATGGGACGCCTCTCCCCTCCCAGCACACTGCTCTCTGTGTCCGAGTCACTGCTCTCCATTTTCTGCTCAGGTCTGGTCAGATTACCTCCTGACTGAATCTATTTAGAAAGCCTATTTAGGACGAGAGAAAATGGATCCCACACACACACACACACACACACACACACACACACACACCCTATAACCACGTCTCCTGTGTGTGAACCAACGCCCCTCTCAGTCATCACTCTGCCTCATGCACTTTTTTTTTTTTTTTTAACTTTTTTTGAATCATGTCAGTGCAGGGACGTGCACACTGTCACTGACTCTTTCAGCTTTACTGGATGTCGCCACCTGGCTGCTGAGGATTTACTGCTTTCACCCGAGTGACTGTCCTTCCTATTGCTCTGCCAGTGCAAAAGATTGTGGGGGGGGGGGGGGGGGCAAAATCTACAGTCTAATATATTCTGAAGTTTGTCTGAAGTAATATGAGGCTTCACAGTCTGAGTGAGACAAATCAAGTGGATATCTTCCAAAGTTTCACTCACTTTAGTTCAGAATTTCCTCATCGAGTTTCCCCGGAGCTCTGTATGTAACAACAGGAAGGAATTTCATTCTATAAAGTCTGTAGTTTTGTAAGAAAAAGATGCAATAATATTGGTGAAATGCTACACATAGGCCCTTTATGATTGCCAGCACTGGTCGCTGGCTCAATACAGTACAAAATGTTCCAGGTGGTCATTGTCACCCCTCCCCTCTTAACCTCCACACACCCACTGTCAACATGCTCGAAAGCAAGATGTGAGGTAATCCTTTTTTAGTCTGTTTGCAGTGTATTATGATGTGTGTGTGTGTGTGTGAGCCTGCATCAGTAGGCTGAACTTTAACATCCTTCTTCCATCCTGAACTGACATCAGCTCCAGGGAAAGATGTGGGGAAGCACAGTTCACCCTCTCATTTAACTAAATGCAAAGGGAGAGGTCAGTGTTTGTCTGCATGATATGTGAAGTGAATGTCCACCCAACATCCATCCTGGTTTCTTAATAACAAGATGCTCTCGCTTTAGTTTAGGAAAGTCGAATCATTCCCTGTTTTCTGTCCGAGGCTGGAAATTCAACTCTTTAACGTCTTTTCTCACGGCAGCTTCTCCCCTGATTCACATCCCGTTTCTCATCCTCCTCCTCTCCTCACTTTAGTTTCCTCTTATCCTGATAAAAGAAGTTGCTTCAGTCTCTCCTCAGGTTTGATTTTCCTCCTTTGTGTTCACTCTAGTGACACAAGTTACAGAAATATCGTGCTGTTGTTCTCCTTAGTATTTATTATGTGTGATACTGATCCAGGAATTCAAATGTAGTTTGTTACTGTTTCCTGCCTTCCCTCTCTTCCAATGTTAGATACTAATTCTCAGTTCGTTTACCTTCAGTATAATCTATATAAAGTCCCAAGTCTCCTATGATGCATTTCCTTTCACTAACACCTCAGTTAATTGCATTAATGTGCCCATATGTCTCACATGTTCTCTGTGGTCACAAACTGATCACCCGTACCTCTAAATCTGAATGAGACTTTTTTTTAGATGAGGGAACCAACAGCCAAACTGAATAATTAATTCATGAAAAGATTCGTTTTGAGTCAACGAAACCTGCCTGAGAACTATTATAAGTTCTAAAATAAATGTTCATTTCCATCAATCTGCAACTTTAACTTTTAGCTTCAACCCAAACTTTGTTGTTTCCCCAAGAAGAGCAGTGAAGGTGCAGTTTTAAATTCGTCTCCTGTCTTGCCTGGGTACATGAATCTAAATGTAGTTGGCATTTACATAGTCTGTGTTTGTTTTCTAATGTCCCACAGCACCTGAACAAGACTTACAACACAGATGTGCCCCTGGTCCTCATGAACTCCTTCAACACAGACGAAGACACAAAGAAGATCCTGCAGAAGTACACACACCACCGCGTCAAGATACACACCTTTAACCAGAGCAGGTGAGAGACCACGTCAATGACACGTCACATACATGTAAGGTTGAGTAACAGCCGGCCTGGTGCAAACACTCCTCACAGTACGCTGATAAGCAGTTACATCAACCAATAGGATCCTGAGGTTATACCAGATGTTAAACTGGAAAGAAGACTTGGACAGAGAGTGCACAAAGATCAGTGTCAGTATGGGTGGATTTCACTAATAGTTAGCAGCACTGAACCCAAAACTCAGCTTCTTCTTCTAAAGCACTGGTCTGTATTCGGTCTCTGCAGTGAGCTGCTCCTGACTCTGTGCTAAAACTGTCAAGAACAGCAGCATCCAGACAGGAACCGTCGTGTAATGTATGGAGAGAGCTGTTAATATTTAATGCCCTGGTGTGTCTCATTTGTCAGTCAAGTGGAACTTGCTTTTTACTATTTCCCTTGAATTATTTAAAACACTTGTATGTTCTGTGGGCCTGAAGGAGTGTAGTACAAAGCATTTTTAGACAGCAGCGTGGGAGCTCTAAGATTTAATTTCGGCACAGAGGAAGTGGTTGAAACCTCAATCAATAGGAGAACAAAGAGGTCTGTGGCCGAGGTCGTGAGAGTAATTCATAAAAGGCAATTTAAATTCAGCCGTACGTCACGCTATCTGATGTTCCAGCTGAGAGAAAACAATTCGTTTTATCCACAAAAAAGTGTGGAGCCACTCTTGTTATTTTTTTAGCCAAAACAAAACTCTAGGGTTACCTGTCAAAGTGATGAGCAGAAAAAATAAACTGCAATCAAGTTCATTCTAAATGCAAATCCTGCTAAATGTGCTGCAGCTCGTACAGCTAGCCTTCCCTGTAACTAACAAGAAACGATGAAGCACAGCAGACAGAAAAATTAATCAGCAATTATTTTGATAATTGATAACTGAATATATTCGAGTGTCGGACAATGGAATCGACAAATTAATTGGCAGATTAATCAGTGATGACGATGACTGTGAGTTGCAGCCCCAATCACACCACTTGGATACAGCTCTGCTCTTAGCGTCAGGCAGACAGAAGGTGCACACACCTTGTTGGTGCTCTGCGCTGTTTGTTAATATTTGATCGGCTTCTTTAAGGTGGACTTTAACTCCAGCAGCTTCCTTAAGGCAGTTCAGGTTTGGACAGACTCAAACAATGTTGCTAAATACCGTAATATAACGTAACATGTGGGTTACATGTTTGATCCCTGCAGCAGTCAGTTCAGCTTCCATCCATTCCTCCCGTTCGTAGAGGCTCCGAGGTTTCAAAATCAATGTCGGTGTAAGTGACGGAAGAGAAAATCCACAGCTGTGGTTTCATCAGAAGTTATTACCAGGCTCCAGAAGCTCGTGTTTAAACAGATCAAATCTTTCAAAGTTTCAGTCTTTTCACTATAAAACACCTTCTTTGTGTTACTGGCCCTCTGCTGCAGCTCAGCAAGGAAACAAAACTGTAAATGAACCCGATCAGCGTCACATAAGTCTGTAATCTTGTTTGGCTGTTTTCTTTTCCTAACACAAAGAATTAGAAGAATTAAATTAGCTTTCTATGTACTCACTTGCAACTGCAGAAGTGCCCCCTGGGATACGAGTGCCCCTGGACTTACTGCCCTATAAAGTATCGGTGCATCAATAAACTTGGATGTAAACAACGCAGGTTTCAAAACATTCAAATGCTTTACGTCGTAGAGAATTCATTCAGCATGTTTGTAAGGATCTACATGACGCAGCAATTTATTCTCAGGACAAATAAAAATGTATCATAACTTTAGGAAGAGGCAAATGTTTACTCAGTTGTTACTTATAATGATGATGAAGTGCTTCTTCGATAAGATGTTTGTTCATGTCCTGTTGTACCCTGGAAAGAAAACTGTGTCTGCTGCGGCAGCGATATTGGATCCACGACAGGAAAAACATTTCTGTAGAAGTAACAAAATGTTCTCAGACTTGGGTCTTAGATGACATGAAACCTTTGAAGTCTATGAGCTCATATCAAAACCACTCATCTGAAGCATCTTCCCAGGAACAGTCTGGAATAAATCCTCAATTAACAAGGCCTCCGTGCCTCTACTGTGCAGCTCCTCTCACCTGACCAGCTCATCTGCGCTCTGAAATATCCTCAAACTGCCAAAAACACAGCCGGCTCCCACTCAGTGCTGTTCCTCACGACGAGGTCTGTTAACTCGACCTGACGCGGATCCTTCTCAGAAACCCTTTGATCAGTTTAATGCACACAGCGATGATGGCTTGGACTCTTTGGCTTGTTGCCTCATCTGCCTTCTTGGAAGTTGATTTCATGAGGGTGTTGTTTGAAGTCCTGCTGTGAAGTCTCCCTGGCTTAATGCTTTCTCTTTGTGCTGTTTATCTGCTGAATACATCAGATTCACAGAATATTGTATATAAGAGACACAGACCATATACATACGAACAGAAAACCATACTCAGATGTTATATTTCATCATGCAATTAAGTATTTACTGTAAATGGTTGCCTCAAAGTCAAAGAAAGAATAGATCGACACCTCCCCCGCTGTCATCTGAGGCCTGAACTACGAAGCAGGATTTGAGGAATTTCAGCTTTAACTCTTGAGTTTTCAGTCCGACGATGGTAGTTCGCTT